GGGGCATGGGGGTCAACATCACATTATTTACAAACCACTATAAGTGTAAATCAGGAAATCTGATTTCTAGATGCTATTGTGTAACTGACTGGCTTTGTGACTTTAAGTAAATTCTTCTCTCCCGCTGAATCTTCATAATCCATTCGATTATTTTAATCACAAAATATATATTTATTGGTAGAACAGAAGAACATGACAAAGCAGCTAGCTTCAGGAGACTAATAAAACATAGATTCCCTGCGGAAAACAGAGCAAGCAAGAACTTCGAGACGATCACGGTCAAATGTGTCAATCAGGAAAAATGACAGCAAGTTCCATCAGAAATTCCCTAGATAGTCACTGAACAGATTGAGAGACTGAATGTCTTAAAATAAAGCTCATCTCTTGAGAGACTTACTTAATTTGAGAAAAGGACACTTCATTGTTCTTTGCATCTTTCCTGTTTTGAAAGAAAAGAGACCCATTAGACCAAAAAGGTTCATTCTGTGCTTCTCCCTTTCATGCATCTACAAATGCCTTTTCTCCAGACATCAGTTTGTATGTGACACTAAATCCTGCCCGCTAATAAATACTAAGCTTAATGTTCCAAGCAGCAAATGCTGACTACAGATCTGTGAAGTTATTCCCTTTAATGCTATTCTAAAAGTATGAAAAAATCAAACTCAAACAACTTTTAGGAATTTCCTTGCAAATACAAATCAGCAGAATTACCTTACTGTAAAGCAACCCTCAATATTTTGTGCTCTGTTTTTGAGAATGCTTTTCTGGTAAGTTAATGCAATAAGCCAAAAAACATATCAGATCCGGCGCTGGCAAGTTGGTCAGGCACCCGCAACCCTCCTGCATCGTTGACTAAACCCAACATTGGTGTTTATAAAACTCTTCCTAGAAGGCAGTCTGGTCGTATGTACCAAAATTGAAAACAGGCAACCCCACTGACCCAGCAATTGCCCAGCTTGGAATCTGACCTAAGGAAATAATCATGAATGTGCCCAAAGATTTAGGCACAAGGAAAAGTAATTATAGCAAAAACAAACAAAAAAAACCTGAAAACTGAAAATATCCAGGAAATTAGTTAAATAAACAGTGGCACTTCCACACAGTTGAACACTCTGTAGCCACTTAAAACGACGATGAAACGAAGCTGCCCACAATGTCTCAAGTGAATAAAGCAGGCTAGACACTAACTTGTAACATGATTGCATTTGTGTGTGCATTTGTGAGTTCTGTAATCACATCCAAATATTAAGAGTAGTTTTGTGGTCTTGTGTGCGTGCTGCAGTTATGGATTACCTATTTATTTTTGCTCTTTTCTGAATTTTTTACCATGTTATTTTGATTTTTAACAAAAAACAATAAAGCTGTTTTACCCAGCCACTGAACTCCCCCCTTCCCCTTCTACCCTGCAAAAATCAGAACTTAATATTAATATAAAAGCTGTGCAAAGCGCCTTATTTATTTATTCAATGCTCCTCAGCTTCCCGAGTCAGGCATGATTATTATCCCCATATCGTAGGTGAGGACATAAAGGCTAAGCTCTCTAACAGCCAGTCGTAGATGGAGGCTGTGTTCAAACTTAGCTAACCCTAAAACGAAGTCTCTTAACACCACACTATGAAAAGGCCTGTGAATGAGAATGCAGCCTCTGAAAGGAGCATCGCACTCCGCAGCGTCTACCAATGGCCTGACGTGACGACTGTGATGATGGCTTTAAAGTCCCCCCACCCCGCCCCCCGCTGGAGTACAGCTGACACGGTACTAGCCAGATGGTGAACACTGCGGGTGACGGGAGCATGGCACTCATCATACTATTCCCTCCCATTCTGTGAAAATTTGAAATTTTCCATAATAAAAAGCTTCCTTAAATAGTAAAGTATTATTATGAACATAAGTATCACCTTTTCTTTCTCCAGAAGATGAAGCCTCCCACGGCCACAATAACCAGGGCACCGAAGATACATCCAAACACCGCTCCACAGATGACACCTGGGAAAAGTCCAAATGGGAGACGCTGCAAGAGGTGTTCACGCAGGACTCCGTGCTGCAGTGACAACCAGCCCGGGCCCTCACACCAGAGGGTTTGGGGGTGTGGGGGAGGTGTACACACACACACACACACACACACACACACACACACACACACACACGAG